GATACCACACTGTGGAAATACCCCACTACAAGTACATGTCCTGTTTTCAAAACCTTACTCAGGTTAAAGTATGTCATCAGCAAAGTTAAAGTACTTAAAGTGTTTCTGATTAACTCCACAGTACATGCAGTATATCTCTTTCTTTCATTCCTTTTTGAGGCTGTAGTTCATTGTGTTGTTACTTTAAGAAAATCTTCTCGTTTCTAAACTGCTAAACTTCATAATAGTTACAAAAAGTTAGCATATCTTACCTTAGTTAGTAACATTAGCGTTTTTGTAAATGACAGGTGTTATACCAGGAGGTGTTAGCCTAGCTTAGACATGACTGAAGGTCTGAAAGTGTAGCAAACAGCTAACATTAGCAGAGACAACAGTAGGTTTAACAATAAACAATGCTGATAGCTACAAAAAGTTAGCACATCTAACCTTAGTTGGTAACATTAGCTTTTGTGTAAATGACAGGTGTTAGCCTAGCTTAGAAAAGACTGAATATCTGAAATTTGCAAGCCAGTGTGACAAACAGCTAACATTAGCAGAGATAACAGTAGTTTTATCAATAAACAATGTTAAGTAGCTACAAAATGTTAGCTTATCTAACTTAGGAAGTAGCATTAGCTTTTGTGTTAATGACAGTTGTAAGTCCAGGAGGTGTTAGCCTAGCTAAGATAAGACTGAGGGTCTGAAATTTGCTCGCCAGTGTGGCAAACAGCTAACATTAGCAAAGACAGAAGTAGGTTTATAGGTAAACAATGTTAGGTAGCTGTAAAAGGTTTGGTGCCATTAAAAGAGTAAAAATTTCAGCTCCAGTTGTCAGATACGGTTATTAACAATGGGGGGAAGTTATGCTAGCTAATGTAAGGGACAGAGTTAGCTTAGCTCAGCACAAAGACTGGAAGCAAGGGGAAACCGTTAGTCAGAGTAGCAACAAACAGCTAGCTAAGCTAACAATATGTTTAAGGGTAGTCAATGTTAGGTAGTTACAAAATGTTAGTGTATCTAATGTTATACTAGTTGTTTGTAAATAATCAGTCACAGCAGGACGTGTTTAGCCTAGCTTAGCATAAAGGCTGGAAGCAGGGTGAACATGTTAGCTTAGTGCCATTAAAAGAGTAAAAAAGTGAAACTCCAAAATCAACCTCCAAAATTATTTTTAAGCACAAAAGCTGGAAGCAGAGGGAAATGCTAGCGTCAAAATGAATGAGAATCCACTTAAAATTAAGCTATGATAATTGTTAAATCCTCTGTGATATCATGGTGAGACAACATGACATGACATGGTTTTCACAACCAGTTATCAGGTCATCAGGTAATCCATGAGCGACATCATTGATCAGCTGCACAGTTCATCATTAATGCCTTGTCTATGAAATGTGGAATGACCATAATAACCAGTTCCCCACCAGCAGTCTGACCAGTCTACACATCAACACCGAGGCTGTCACTGACAGTTAGCTAAGCCACGCCTCCCTTAGTTACTGTTGCCAACCTGTCAATCTGAACACTCTGGAATATTCCAGCAAATGACATATACTGACAGCTCTTCTTCTGCTCTGTGAAATGCAACTGGGCAGAGCATTATCGCAAACATCTGACTAATAATTGTCAAAATATTTGCTTGTTTGCTGACTTGTCTTCTTCTATATTTATTCATTTGTTGTATCAAAAATAAAAGTGTATTCATGGTATGTTTCTGTATCTCTGAATGTCTGTGGCTGTCAACGTCTCGTTCTATCACCAGCTGATCTACTGAGTTAAAGATAGCTGCTGCATTCTGTGAATATTTAAAACTCATGCAATAACATGTATTGTCAGCACTTGATTAAATGTGCTGCTGTTAGCTTGCTAACAAGGTAACGTTAGCATTTGTGTGCATCATTTGTGGTACAAAATTATTACAGAATAAAGCCAATAAACAACATTCTGTCAGACAGCAGTACAGCAGTAGTGAAGAATACACACATTTGTACAATGCTTCAGTGTTCACCGCGGTGAGTTGGTCAAACCATCCAGGTAATGAAGCTCAGCCCAAGTTCAACCAAGAAAACATTCATTCAGAATTTTCTCTATCCCACTGCTTCCTCTGCTCAGCTGACTTTAAATCTGCTCTCTGCTCTGCTGCTGTCTGTAGTTTTAGGCAGAACTATCGCAGTGCAAGACGAGCTCTCCAAAACCCATTTCTCTACTCATTCAGATCATTAGCACTTCTTCATCTCATCTCATCCTCACCACCTCCAGATTTCTCCTTAGGCTGCTGTCAGCCCTAGAGTCGTCTCCTTTGCTCTGAATCAGGGACTGATGTTGTCACAAAGTTGTGTAATTGCCTAGAGTTGGTTCGTGTTCTCACGGCAGCATTTACAAGAGGACCAGATCAAATGCCTTGTGTGAGAAAGCTGCTCTTGATTGGTCAGAATTTCCATGTGGGAAAAATCCAGGAAGTAAAGCAAACGTTGAAGAAGAGTACACTTGCAAGATAAATGTGACACTTTCTAATGTCACAATGGAGGGACAACTACGCAGGTTGATTTTAGCGCTGCTCATCGTGTACTATATTGCTGTCATTGTTCATTTTAGTCAAACCATACAGTTTGAAAACGAGGCGCGGCTCCAACTAGAAAACAATGTTTTGATGCATTGGATGTGCTGAATGTGCATATTAAGGCAGTACAGGAGGAGGTGCACATTAATAATCCTCCAGGACTGTAACATGCTCATGTTTAACCCAAACAATGTGTCATGTGACTGCAGTTGCTTCACATCCAGGTCGGAACACCTTCTCACCACAAACCAACTGCACCAGAGTTCGTTCGTAACCAGACTGAGACCACCTCTTCAAGAAGGTCTCAGTCTGGCTGTATTGGTGCGCAGGATGGACCCATGGACCCCTTTTGGGCTGCAGCCCACCAGTTGGGAACCAGATTCATTGCCCTCCTAAACATAAACCATCTCCATGGGGTCTAATCACCAATGGGTTTTCACATTTTTCATTCCTTATGTGCATAAATAAATATTTATTTCTCTGAGAATGAGTCTCTCCTGACTGAACTGATTAATCAGTAAACTACACGGTACCATACCTCTCAGTATAAACACATTAATGTGCTCAGAATAGTAAGCACAGAAGAATCTGACTTAAATCACAGTGCTGGTATTTAAAGTAATTCAACCTAAATATAATGAAAGTGTTTTATTGACCATGCAGAGTATTTTTAACATCGTACAACCGTCTGAACATGGGAATCTTTCCATCGTCACCATCCATCCCATATATGACCTGAACGCAGCATCAGTCAGCTAATGTTCCAACAGACCCCTCCATCCTTTAAACTCCACCTTTACAAACCACATACTGAAACTCTGGAGGCAGTCTGATCAATGTTTTTATGATTAATTCGACTGATTTGAATGATTTGTTCTGCACCACGTTCACCGTCTGACACGTCATCTGGGTGTCTGTGTGTGAATGCAACTTTGAGCTCTCACTGAGTCCTGTTTCAGGTTTCAGGTTTCAGAAACTGGACGGTACGTTTAGTCCATGTTCACAGACACCCATCAACAGCACTGAACCAACACTGAGGTATGCACACACACAGACACACACACACACACACAGGAAGGATTAAGAGTTGGATCATAAAGATAAGAGCAGATTTTCCACTGAGAGCTGAAGACAAACAAACTGCTGCTGCTGCACACAGAGACAGAGACGGACCCCTCTACCATCGACTGCTGCTGCTGTGAAAATATTGCACAGGAAATTCGAAAGTAGTAATGTACATCATGTAAAATTTGTAGTGCACCTAATGTAGGTGTTATAGTTCTACTCCCTGCAAAAAGGGGCAGAGTTATATATATATATATATATATATATATATGTAAGTATATATATGTACTTGAATTAGACTCTTTGACGCTTTACATGTCTCACACTGTATAATTTTCAGCTGAACCGGATGAGAACAGAACTGGTTTTACTGGGTCCACTCAGTCCACCATTACCAGAGAAACATTAACAGAAGAATGGTGATCATCATGCTATGTGTGGCACGTCAGCACACACTGACAGCAACCTCCTGTTTACTAAAAGCAGGTAGTTTTATAAGTGTATCTGATTATCAGTAACTAAACTGTGCCCCAAGAATTAGTACTCGGAAACGAGTTAGCATGTTAGCATGTTAGCACTTCCTGTTCCCTCATCTTGAAGTCAGTGTGTTTTGGGTTAGATATATTAGCCAGCTCTCTCCATAGTGTTTCCTCCTACTGTCAGGAGGTGGAGCTGATAATACAGACAGTGGTGTAGTGGTAGCTGATGAGGTGGGTTTACTGCTAGGTAGATGGCCAGGTTACCAAGGAGGTAGTGAGTTTACTGTCCGATATATTCCAACAAAATTTGAATGCCGTCACATGACAAAATGACCCTTACAAACCAGCCAATCAGGAAACAGCAGGAAATGCCACAGAAACCACCTCTGACCTCTGACATCATCAAGAGCAACCCACATGAATAATACCATACAGAACAATCAGATCATCTCCAGACAGACAGTCAATATGAAACTATCAAAGTGAGGAGGACATGTCCCCCAATCCACAGGGGACATGATGAGAAATTGCTTGTTAGCCACAACAACAACAACAGCAACAGCAACAACAACAACAACAACAACAACAAGTGGGGACATTAAAATAGACCAAACTGTTCATTCACTCTAAGACATCCACGAATGTTAGAGGACAGAGGACTGATGAAGGAGCCTTGAGAGGCTGATGGAAAATGTTTACAGTAGTTGTATGGGAGGGGGTGCAGAAAGTAGAGGGGCTGATGGGAAATGTGGTCTTTAAGTGCAGAAGAGCTCTGAATAATAATCACACACTCACAAATTCAACTCTGTGTGTGTGTGTGTGTGTGTGTGTGTGTGTGTGTGGGAACCAGCGCTCCCAGCCTGCAGCTCCTTATTGGGACAAAAGGAAAGAAGCTGCTGCTGCATATTTTGGAAACTCACTCTCTGAGGTCGGAGTCGCCTTCTTGGACTTCTTGTCAGTTGGAGAGTTCTCTGTCGGATCTGTAGGATACACAGAGACACACGGAGACATATAGAGACACACAGACAGAGTTTTAGACGTATACATAGACTGCTTCACTTTGTTAAAATCTTTCTTCAAACCAGTTCATTCATTTTTCGTAACCACTTGTCCTGTTGGGGGTCACAGGGGTCACTGGAGCCTATCCCAGCTGACATTGGGCGAGAGGCGGGGTAAGAAAAAGAAAGAAAGTAGTGGCAGCTGCTTCTGTAACACAGTGTGTTACAGAATCAACCGCAGGTCCCTGAATCGCATCGAATTGTGACAGACTTCTTAATATTGGCAAATATCGTATTGTTGTCCAAAGAATTGATAGAATATCATATCATGATGACACCGGTGATTTACACCACTAGAGGGTACCAATGGAACCGTTCCTTACTGTTCCCATGTTTGGTCCCCCCTCTGTTGGGGTACCTAGCACACAGATCTGGTACTAAAAGGTGGAGCTGTGAACACTGCAGTCTGATTGGTCAGTAGAGGACGGTCACTCTGCTCAGGGCTGAGTTGTGTCTGGTTTTGAGGCTCATGTAACCACTGTTCATACTGTGGAGAGTTTTATTAGTAAACTGTAATTATAAAATGAAAGGATGTGTTGCTGCCTCTCACAGCAGCTGGAGTCTGAGAAAAAATAACTTCATTCACTGGGTCGACTGCCGGCGACTTTTAAGGTGGAACGTTAACTTGTAATGTTACTCAGTGCATGAGTTGATGACGTGATCCATCAGCACACCTTAAATTTCACTGTGACAACTTTGACCATCACTAGTTTTTATTGTCTCTCTTGGATGACACTTTTAGTAATGACTTAATCTTCAAGTGTTTCAACCGGATTATGTAAATTGCATATATTCTAATCCTCAAAATAAAAGCGTCATGGAGCGTCGTTCCTGTGGGCTACAGCAACACTAAACCCCTGAGCTTGCCTGAGAAGGACTAAATGCACAAAGCTGCTATTTTTAAATATCCCACGGAGAGAGACTCTCACTGCAGCCTGTTCTATTTTGTTCTGAAAATGTTGGCGTGCAGCCTCGTTCTGTGGACGATAAACCAGGTGCAGACTGATAAAGGAGGAAATACAGTGAGTGCTGGACGGAGCAGTGAGTGACAACAACCCTGCCCATATTTAAGAGGACTGTTTGCGGTGGAAACACTAAATGGACCAAGGGTCTAGGTACCATATCTGAAGGGTTACTTTTGGTTCCAAAGGTACCATACTGAAAGTGTTTGGTGGGAATGTGGCTACAGACACAGACAACCATTCACGAGTCACCAATTAACCTGCATGTCTTTGGACTGTGGGAGGAAGCTGGAGCACCCAGAGAAAACCTACACTGACATGAGGAGAACACGCAAACTCTCCTTAATGAACAGGATGACAGGAACATATGGAGAGGGGAGAAGTCTGAAGTATTTTAATAAATGTAACTGAACATCTACAGCTATGTTCAGATATGTGTTCTTGTGTCAAGGGACACTCTAAATATCTTCACGTACTTCAACACGTCCGACACAGTTAACTGTTCTGTAAACTGTTGAGTGAACTGATGGGAACATTAAACAGAACATGATCCTCTGAGGGTTCTTCACGTGTGGAACAGCAGCTTGTCTGAATACACAGAAAGTTTCCTCCATAAATTCTTCACCCCAAATTAACAAACTGATCTCTGATGACTCGCTCCTGTCAGCGTGCTGCTGTGGAAGAACCAGCTCTGACTGAACTCCCATCATGTTTTGCTGCACGTTGTTTCCAGGAATCTGATTCAGAGCAGTTTGATAAAAACAGACCGACTCTGTTTGTGTCGATTTATTTTAATTACAGGAAGCTCCGAGCAGACAAAGACTGCTGAAGTATTCTGGGAAGTAACGAGGAGGAGGTTGTTTTCTTCTTCTCTGCCGTGTTCACTTAAACAATCTGTGACTTGTCTCAGTTTATAAAATGAAACAACCTCTTGATTATGAGCTGAATTACAGATTAAATTACTATTATAACTAGATTACAATTAAGTTTTACATTTAATAGATGATTTAACTCACAGCAAGATCATCTTAAAGTGCCACATTTTTAAACTGACTTTGTGAGTGTTTCTCCTGATATGACAGGAGTACAAATCAGAGTTCACTAAAGATGCAGGATATTAAAGAAGCTGTATTTGGTTTGCAGGTTACATAACGAGATATGAAGATGGATGTTTCTGGAATAAAAATGTAACAGACAATTCAAAGACAATGATGACATTACAAGTAATTCAAGATGGAGTTTCATATTTAATATCTAATGTCCGAAGCAAGAACAAATCAGGAACCTTTTATATCTCATTTCACTTTCTTTCATGAAACTGAAGGGGTTTAAAACCTTTTGTCTCAAAGCAAAAGGGTTCCTTGTTCGAAACCAGGGTGGGGGAGCCCTTGAATGTGGAGATTGCATGTTCTCCCTGTGTCAGCATGGGTTTCCTCCAGGTACTACAGCTTCCTCCCACAGTCCAAAGACATGCAGGTTAATTGGTGACTCTAAATTGTCTGTAGGTGTGAATGTGAGTGTGAATGGTTGTCTGTCTCTATGTGTCAGCCCTGTGATAGTCTGGTGACCTGTCCAGGGTGAACCCTGCCTCTCACCCAATAAATACCTGTTATATCTTTTTCCTTTTCTACACAGAAAATCAAAGAAATCAGATTTAACTGAAAGTGTAAAGACAAACTGAAAGACTCTGAAACAGAGATGGGAACTATGGCCGAATTAAAAATAAAAAGATAACAGTTATGAAAAAGTTAAGACAGTGCGTCAGTATTAAAAAGTAATGTCAGTATGAAGGAGGGAAAATTAAATTCTCAGATTTTTGAAGGGAGTTTTGTAACTTCTTCAGAGTAAAAAAGAAAACTGGTGTAAATGTTTATTCAGACAGTTATAGAAACTTAATTGTTCAGTGGACACAGATGGAGTTATTTAATTTCAGATACACATATATATGAAGCTGTGAACATGATGAAGAATGAAGTTCTTACCATCGACGAGAACCATACAGCAACATTCAGCTTTTCCTCCTGCATTCTCGGCTCTGCATTTATACTGTCCTTCATCCTCTGGGAGAGCTTTGTCTATAGTCAGAGAGCACAGGCCGCCTACAACACAAACACAACACCACATTACAACATCATATAACACACAGTGATAGGGCCGTATGTTTACTGAGCATACTGCAGCGTAGAGAGGGGTCAGCAGTCACGTAATGAATCTGGAGTTATAAGGGGCCGTACACATGCTTAGTCTTTAGCTGCCTGGACAACACACAACCAGCACCGTATCATAGCCTACGTACAGAGCAGATCTTCTTCCAGATGTTGTTTTGTAGTGTGTATTTGGCCAAATGAATGAATGAATATAATTATTTCAGTCAATCACTTTACGGTAGTGGGAGTAGTCAACATTTCAACTAGCTTCCTATGCTAACACTAGCTAGTGTCTGTGTATCAACTCTCCGATCATAACTTCAACCACTGCTCATTTTGGAAGGACCACTGTGATAAAATATGTTCTTTGTTTAAATTACAACACAGTTAACGAACAGTGAATCATAGTTGTTTGTTTCTGGCTGCTAGCATTAGTTAACTTAGTTAGCTGAAAAGTCTAGTCGAGGGTTAATGCTAGAATACATAGTCCGGAGGGACTCCGCTGCCGTCTCTCTGGTTCTTCTAGCACAGGAGCAGATCATAACCTGGGTCAGCGGGGACGCTTGTCATATTTTTCACCACGGGGAACCAGTTGTTCCTCCAGATCATCCATTTTAGCACTAATCCAAGTCCAAGTATCAACAGATGGCAACGTTTTTAATTAAAGTGGAAATAAACAAGTTTTCAGCTAGCTAACGCTGGCAGCCGGAAACACGTATCTATGATCCATCATCTGTTTGAAAATCTAAACAAAGGACACACTTCCTTGGAGTGGTCCTCTGGTGGAAGTTGCTATATTCTCTATGGATCCATGATTAAGGAGCTGATAAGGAGACGTTAGCTAGCGAGCTAGTGCGTTAGCTGGTAGAAGAGTCTCTATGGCTGCATTAAATAAACAAATGTGAATGTAAGGCCAACGTTATTATTACAACAACAATCGAAAATATGTATTTTGCAATCTCTGTCAGACGCTGCACTAGACTTTTTTGTCGCCGGTCATTTTGACCGACAGGGTCATAAAAATCTGGTCATAATCTATTTTTACCGGTCATTTAAATTTTCGTTTTTAAATGATAATAAAGATATTCAAAGAAATTTAGTTTTCATTTTCGTTTTTAATAAATCCAACAAGCAAGTTATAAAGTGTGCATTAATAAGGACATGAACGAAAAGATGAGGCTATACCATTAGGCTTCGCCCTGGACACACCGCACGGCATTAACGCTTCCGGTGTGTCCAGGGCGTTATGTAGTTATGCCTGTAGGCTCGGTGACACAAAATTAAAATTGTAATGAAGTGATTATGGTATTGAAAAATGTGTTCGGTTATGCACTGTTGTGTTTTTTTTAATTATAAACACAGTATTTTCTCCTCACGTTCCTCAGTGCGTGCTGTTGTTATTTTATTTTGAAAATTGGCCGGATTCTCTCGTCTTTTCTGTGTCCGACTTCCTGTTTGGTACGATCCCCTCGATCCAGCTTGACAGAATTGTCGTGGCTCGCGTGAAAAATAGACCAGATGCCGAACTGAAGTGCTGCCTCCGCGGGCGCTCGGCTCTGCTCAGCGGCCTGTGTGGACAGTCAGATAGGTTAACATGGGCGCTGACTGAAAACTGCCTCCGCTGTTGGGCGCTGCGCTTCTGTTCTGCGTCCGGTGTGTCCAGTGCGCTATGTCAACAACGCTACATCAGAGCGACAGATGAATGACCTTTTCTCTGCAGTGTGAAAACGGCAGCCACTTAAACCACTGACTGTGCACTCTGCCGCCAAGTGGGCAGGTGTGGTAATTCCAACCAGTCAAAACGACCGACGGCCTTCAGATTTTCCAGTCATTGTTGTAAAAAAACAGTCAATGACCGAGAACATCCGGTTAACGCGACCCCTGCTGCCCATGCAACATACAATTGAGAGTCTGCATGCGCCCGTCTATAACAGTGGTGTACGAGTGTATACCATGATATTCCAATATCACGGTATACCATTGCAGCCCCACCCTGACGACATGAAAACACACAGTGAAATGTTGTTGTGTGTCGCTCCAGCTGTCTGAGGACGTCTGTGACCTCTAACCTTTAACATGGGATCACAGTCCTCACTATGTGGGATAAACACGCACTTACACACACACAGTGGTGGATCAGGGGCTGTCCTGCAGACTGAAATAACAGGACGGGGATTACTGCTGTCTGACACACACACACTGTGACACACACGCAGGGAATCCTCAGGCAGCATGTATGTACAGATTTAAACAGCAGGTCTTCACAGTGTGTGTGTGTGTGTGTGTGTGTGTGTGGGTTTGTTCTATTTTTGTGAGGACATGTTGGGACGTGTATTTGTTACCGTCCATTGTTCTGATTGTTTCAGTCTGAGGTCAACAACGCAAAAACAACAAGATAAACAATGGTTAAATTTTGATCCAAACTTAACGCCAACATGTCTCTCTGATTACTGACTCACTGAACTGTAGACAAACACAACTACGGTGAGTCCAACAGGTCAAACTACTGAAGAATCAACCCTGTGTTTTCTGATCAGCTGATGATCGTGATCGTTTTATTGGTAAAACTCAAACAGAACCAGGATCAGATCGAGATGGGTGGTGGATGGATCCAACAACCACTGACTTTTACCCGAGAGCCCAGTGGTCACTTCCCGTATGAATGTGAAGCCAAACCCTGTTCTTTTTTCTAAACATAACCACATGCGTTTATTGTTGAAGTCAAAAACATCAATCCAAGATGTTGAACCAACGTAGTGCTTTTATTCTGAAAGAGACCGTATGCAAACTGTACATTTCCTGTGAAAACAGAGGTGTATTTTGAAAACAGACAATGCATGTAACAAGAAGTTGACACGGCGTCACACTTGGGACCTTTGACATCATTTCTTGACGTGGAAAGTCTATGATCAAACGTCGATATGTGACAAGATTGGAGTGAGAATGTGTTGACCTGATTGATTAGTTTTGTTCTGTCTCCAAGACGACACTCCCCATGAGCCTCAGCTGCTGTTTCCAGCTGTTCTGCGTGAGAACAGATAAAGTCATCTGCTGTCTTCTTTTCCTTTTCTCATCATTAGTTATTCTGGATCCTACATTTCCCTTGATGCACATTATGCATATTTACATCATGATGGACGTATGTGTCTGTTAGCTGCCACAAACACCTCGACTGCTCATCATCTAAGGTTTGAATCTGCTTTTCATCAGCCCCATTTTAACATCACAGTTGCATCACTGTGTGCAGAGACACCTCGCATAGCTTCATCTAACAGAGATCAATAACACAGCGCCACAGCAAAAAACAAAAACATATGATTGGTTGATGCTTCACTGCATCATTGGAGCGCTGGAAAATCAGTTAGTGGCGCCCATCAGCAGTGACAAGTGTCTGGCATCAGTTTGTGGCTTCATGTCAGCAGCTTCAATTGAAAATGAGTTGTAGCCTGTTGCTGTTTCGCTCGCAGTGTGAACGCAGAGCTACACATGCACCCTTCTATGAATCGATGGATGACTGATGAGACAATCAAAAATGTATCAGTTTGATGATATGTTCATGTTTTTTAGCAAAAAAATTGAGAATAATTTAAGCTTTTGAAAAATGGCTTTGCTACATCTTTGTCTTTTTTAAAGGTTAACTCATTAACACTTTGCTTTGACCCTTTACAACCTGGTGCGACATCACTGTTCTTGTGCTGCTCTCAGACGACGTTTGCAAGTATTTAAACCTTTGAATCCTGAGCTACTGTAATTGGCGCAATTTCTTTCAAAAACATGGGAAAAAACGGATTGAGCCATTTGGTAAATGTCCCACAAATTTAGAAAATTATTTAAAAAAAAACAAAAAGATAGAAAATAAATAAATAAATAACAAAATAAATAAAAAAAGACAAAAAAATATAATTATTATCATTACATATTTAAATTATGGCACAGAATCATTTTATTTTTTAAGCATTTTTCAGGTCATTTCCTTGTTTTTTTGTTTTTAACTTTTTTTATATACTAATCTTTTAATTTTCTCTTTTTACAAATTTCTTTGGGTCATGTCTTCCCTCGTTGCTCGTTGCCTTCTTCACATGTTTTTAAAACAAATCAAGCCAATTTGCTCTCAGGTTTCAAAGGGTAAACTTCCCTATAAAGATCATGATTGATTTAGGTTTCCAGAAACATAAACTGATTATTTTCTCTACAAGACATCAGAGAATCCTTAAACATTTCCATGGTGATGTCTTGTTTTGTCCAACAGTTTAAAATACTTTGTTTTAAATCCTCCTCTTACTCCTGACCAGTCCGTCCATAAACATGTAATAACTGGTTTGTAGCTGTGAGCAGATCTAAGCATCTGTTATCTACAACTCATCCTGTGGACAGACAAAATATATAATATTAAATATATAACATATAAAAATGAAATTCTATATAATTGTTGACAAACACTTGACATTAATAAACACTTAAAATGTCCTTAAATCTGCTTATAACCTGATTATAGAGCTTTATAAACCAACATTGACAGTGAAAATGATCCTTAGCTCGCTCCAGAACCTGGTGGAACGTCCTTTTAACAGACAGGAACCATTAATACCAAACAGTAACCTGAGGACGCACTGAGTGAATCAGTGTTGGTCCTCACAAGTACAGTAAGATGAACGTGTGTGTGTGTGTGTCCTATGTAAAGTGATATGTGTGTTAACGTCGGAGATACCAACAATAGTGTGTCACACATCACATCCTGTCTGTTGTTTCAGATCTGCGTTCTATTAATAGAGTCTGAATCCTCTGAGCTGCATCAACAGTTGCTTCACCTCCGCCTCCACGCCGCTCTCTCCGTCAAGCTCACATAACTTTATTCCAACTCACGCAGATGTCACAAACTTCACGCTCACACATTTTACTGCAGGTGTGTGTTTGTGAGTGTGTTTCTGTGTGTGTGTGTGTGTGTGTGTGTTTGTGACCTCTGACCTTCATTGGCGAGGATGATGAACTTGGACGGCTTGATGATCTTCCCGTCCAGCGTCCAGGTGACGGTGGCATCTGCAGGGTCCGAGGAGGCGAGGCGGCACTGCAGCCGGAGCCGCTGTCCATCCAGCACTGTCACGTCGCTCAGCTTCTCCACCATCTCTGGCGCCTTCCCTCCTCCTCCTCCTCCTCCTCCACCTCCACTCTTCTTCTCGTTAATCCCTCCATCAACGCAGTTGTTCACTGCGGCCTTCCCGGTCTCCCCGTTCTTCTCGGGGCTACCTGGCTTCTTCTTGTTGGCGAGGACGGAGCGGAAGTCAGCAGAGTTCTTTGCAGGCATCTCTGCAGGTTTGTTGCCGTTGCTGGCGGCGCCCTTCTTCCCCAGCACGCTACGGAAGTCGACCTGCTGCGGGGAGTTCCCCTTACGGTCATCCTCCACCTTGGCTTTGACACCTTTGAGGTTGGCCTTAAAATCCATCTGGTGGCTGTGCTCTGCGGCGGCGGCGAGGCCGGCCTCCCTCAGCTCCTCTTCCTGGTTGTTTTTGGCGTTGAGAGCTCGCCGTCCCAGAAGCGAGCGGAAGTCGAGCTGCTGCGCCTCCCTCTGTCGCAGCTCCTCTTCACCGCGCTCCCTGGTTTCCACACAGCGCTTGAGGAGGCCTCGGGGGGCGGCAGAGGCGGTGGTGGCGGTGGCAGAGTCCTGGTTGCCCTCCTTCTTCTTCTTCTCCTCCTTGTGCAGGTGCAGGAGTTGCTGGTTCTCCTTCTGCTCCTGGTTGGCCTCCTGCCACTGCCGACTGACACCACGGCTGCTGCTGCTGCTTCTCTGCTCCACGCCTCCTTCTCTGGCACCTCCTCTCAGCACAGCGGTCCCACCAGCTGCTGCTCCTCCTCCTCCTCTTCCTCCTGCTGCAGGGCTGGATGAACAAGCACAGAGACAGATGGATGGAGGGAGAGGGAGAGAATAAACAGAGCTGGGTTAAAGCCCCCCTGGAACAAGAGGCTCCGCCCCCTACAGCTGGGGGGTGGGCAGGAGGAGGTGGAGGAGGAGGACAAGGAGGAGGAGGAAGAGGACCTCAACTCAAAATGTCCATGTTACATCACAAGTGACTCGACTGCCTTTATATGGGCATACACTCTGATCTGAACACACACACACACACACACACACAGATGTAAACACAAGTGAAACTGGACTCTGAGGACTCTCTTCTCCGTCCTCCCAATTCACTTCATTCCCAGTCCACCCAGTTACTTTGTGGGACTGGGAGTCACTTCACAGTCTCTGATCTCAACTCATGTTGCAGCTTATTTTCTGCCGTTGAAAACAAAAACTCTTCATCACTTTTAACACACACAAATACACACACACACACACACACACTGTAAACAGTGGTGACCAGCTGAGAGAGACAGAGGAAATACTGTCTCTGATTGGTTTGGATGATATGGACGGATTAGAGAAGCTTTATGGGAATCTGTGGATATAGGACAGAGAGAGAGAGAGCGAGACTGATAGATGAGGAGAAAGAGTGGAAATGGAGGGATGTAAACAAACCAAGTGACTGAATGAAAAGATGATGGAGGGAATGAAGACGAAATGGTAAACAGCTTTGTTTTTTGTCTCTGCAGCTCTGATGGTTAAATTTAATACTGTTTATCAATAATAGTACTGATGATGCTTTTCCAAGAGACGTTTTTCCTGTTCAGGAACAACAGAGGGTAGAACACTAACTTTCAAGAAAGCTAACGCAGATATTATCAGTATTCAGACACTAACTGGAAACCAGTAAAAGCACCCTTGAGGCAAATTTGTTTCTGTCATCTGTCCTCACATTTGAAACCACACACCACACTTTGATAGACATCTGTTTGTGCTGGCTGGCTAACATGACACATATTCCAGTAACAGAAAACAGCTAGCAGCAGTGATAACGCTAACACAGACCAAACAAGGTTAGCTCTACAAGTCATTAAAAATTGGACTGAGTGTCTCTAAACAACAAAAAGTACAGATTAAAAACACAGAAACGCTCCCTTACACCAGTAACGTAAGTTCGCATCTTAGCTAAAAGCAAAGTTTGCATCGAGAAAAAGTTACACTAGCATTAATAAAGTAAGTCTGGGACAAAAATAGTAACATCAAAAGAGAAAGTTTAGCATAAAATAAGGTAAACATACAAAAAACGATAGGATAAAGGAGTGAGGTAAGCTAAAAAAGTAACAGCAGCATTAATAAAGTAGGGTGAGGTTGGTGGTAAGGAAAAAGTGGAACATTCAAACAACGTTACCATAAAATTTAAGCTACATTGTAACATTAGCCCTGACAAGGTAAATTAGCATGAAAAAGTAAGGAAAGCTAAAAAAAATAAAAGTGATGTAAGCATTAAAAATGTAAGGTTAACATAAAAAGGTAACATTAGCATGCAAAAATAAACATGCAACATACAAACGTGCAAGAACGTTAGCATAGTTTGTTTTCATTTGTTATGTTTTAGTTCAGTGTAAAAAATATGTTTCACTCAAAAAAAATAAAGTTAGAACTAACAAACTAAAGATTCACATATACAAGGAGCATTAGCACTAAATAGCAATGTTAGCATTGCAAATGTAAGCATGAAAACATAATGTGGCGGTAAGCTAAAAAGTAACATTAGTCCTGACAAAGCAAGTTAAAAAAGTAAGGCATGCTAAAAAAAAGTAGTGTTAGCATTAACAAAGGAAACATAAAAAAGTAACATTAACATTGCAAAAGTAAGTTAAGCCTGAAAACGTTATCTTAACATGAAAAAATAAGGTAAACATGCACAAAAAAAAAAAAAGTTGGCATGAAATAGTAAGGTAAGCTAAGTTAAAGTAATGAAAGCACTAAAAAAAGTAAGTTTACCATTAAAAGGTAAGGGTAGCTAAAAAAAAAAAAATATAACGTTAGCACTGACAAAGTAATGTTCACATTAAAAAGTAACATTTGCAATAACATAGTTAAGTCAGCATTAAAAATAACATTAGCATTGCAACAGTAAGGTTAGCATAAAAAAGTAATGTTAGCATACATGATTTTAGTGTTAACAAGCAAAACCTGACTCAACAAACTGTGTCACAGGATTTAGTAAGTGTTACTGATCATTTAGACAGGATAATGAATCATTATTGTTCTGTTACCCAATAAGAGAACAAATAAAGAAAGCTACTGGATCATTCAGGTGAATGAAGTCTCACCTGTCGTCCTCTCCTGCTCCTCCTTCTCGTCCTCTCGTCCTGTCCGTTTCTCCACCAGTGACGGACAGACAGGCCAAAGCGCTGCACTCCCCAACATTGTTCCTGACACACAGACAGGCAGAGCTTCAGTGCCTCAATCAACAGCAGAACCCCTTAGAACCCTACCTTGTATTCATTCTAGGGTCCTCCCTTGTACCCAAGTACCCTACCTAGCAGTCATTACAGTGCCCCCCTTGTATTCAAGTATTTTACCTAGCAGTCATTACAGTGCCCCTCAAAGTGTCCCAGTACCCTACCTTGCATTCTTTCTAGTGTGAGTGCCCTTTAAACCAAGTACCCTACCTAGTATTCATTGATGTGTCTTCCCTTATATCCAAGTATCCTACCTAGAAGTCATTACAGTGCTATCCCTAGTGCCACAGCACTCTAACAAATATTCTTTCTAGTCCCGTCCCTGGTATCCAAGTACCCTACCTAGTATTCACCGCCGTGCATTCCACAGTGCCCTAAAATCTTGTCTTGTATTCTTTCCAGTGCTCTCTCTTGTACCCAAGTACCCTACCTAGTAATCTTTAGTGCCCTAGTATGCTACCATGTCTTCCTTACAATGTCCTCCCTAGTGCCCTAGTACCCTACCAAATATTTTTTACAGTGCCCTCCCTGATACCATAGTACTATACCTAGTATTTTCTGCAGTGTCTCCCTTCAGACCCAGTAAAACTACCTAGTATTTCTGAAGTACCCTGCCTGGTGGCCTAGTTCGCTACCTAGTATTCATTGCAGTGCCCTCCCTTTAGTACCCGACCTAGTATGCCCTCCCTTGTACACAAGTTTCCTACCTAGTATTCTTTGCAGCGCCCTCCTTTGCGCCGTCTGCAGTATCCCTGCCTGTTCCCTACCCAGTACCCTAAAGCTAATACAATTTGTTGAATACTTACACACATTTAGTTTACTCTCAGCACTCTTCCTTACCCTTCCCATTAATCTCCTCACTACCTTGCTATCTTCCCTAATACTATATTACCCTTCCTATTACTTATGTACTACCTTGTATCTTACTTATTAAATATCCTACTATTCTAGTAACCAACCAAGTGCCCTAGTATGTAATCCTCTACAACCTTCTGCTAGTACTTTAGTAGCAGTAAAATTAATTGATTGATTGAGAAAAATAAATAATTAATTGATATTAAATATGCTTATGACCCTATAACCTCCCCAGTACCCTGCAACGCACCCTTTGTACTATCATGGTACCCTGCCTTGTAGTCTTTGGAGAGTCTTCCTCACCACCACCATAGCCTAACTAGTATTCCTTGATATACACTTTCTAGTGCCTTTGTACCCTTGTATGTTTTCCAGCCCTTCCCTGAATATGCTCGTACCCTCTCTAATACTATTATTATTCCACCTAGGCAGTGTGGTACTTCCTGTGATGTACCCTACTGCTTTATTCAGAACCACCACATTTGTACGTTGCTTTGGACAAAAGCATTTGCAGAATAATTAAATGTATCTTTACAATGTTATCTTGAACCCCCAAAGCTGAAGTGAATCTTTCCACATCTTCATGGCTTGTGTAGTCCATGTTATGTACGTCCAAGTTTTATGCTTGTCCGTATGCACTGCCTGTCAGAGTGCTATAAACAGAACTATGTCTGTTTGGGGGTATTTTAGGAATCTTAACATTCTACCCAGTCCTACTTTCATTGCCTTCTTTAGAAGACTGGTACCATACATATGATTTAAAGGCGCTCCATTAAAAGTTGGAACTACTGTGGCATATCTGAACCTTTATACCTCATAAAAAATAGTTAAATAAAAAGTGGAACCACTGGGATTAATTGGGGATGATGCGGGGGGGGGGGGTCTACAGTATGTGAAGAGGTTGATGGATAGATTATGGATGGATTTATGGATGGGGGAGGGGTGGTGTTTAATCCTGACTTCATTTGTGTACTGTAGATCATAGAGGATTATTTTAGCATGTTGCTCTCAACAAAACAGCTGCTAGTATTTGTAGTTGTCTCAATATATATGCTGACTGCTGTCACTGGCTTGGCTCACCTCAGAGTGATCAGGTAGTCTCCAGCATGATGCTTTTTAACTCTCCTGATGAAGAAGAAGAGGAGGTAGGGTTTTTAAGTATTGATTAGATCCTTGTTGGATCCCTGTTGTTAGCATCTAAAGATCTGTTTGATATTAAGTGTAAGTGTTTGACCTGATCAGCAGTGAGGTGACGTCCTCTTTCTGCAGCAGTTCGTAGTCTCCTCCAGAGGTCAGAGGTTGGCTCAGGTCAGCTCTGGTCCAGGTATACTGGGGGAATGGATCTCCAGCAATGGCGCAGGACAGGAGGACGTGCTGACCCACAACGGCGCTCACCGGTTTGGGTTTGGTGATGAACCAGGGCTGAACGCCGTCCTGAGGCTCTGCCACAAAAACACAACCATCATCAGAACTACAACAGGGTAGTGCAGGAATGATTCCTAAAACCCTGAAATGAGTTAGCATGTTAGCACATTAGCACTTCCTGTTCCCTTGTCTTGAAATAAAGTCTGTGGTTAACACAAGCTAAGGAGACTTTTATGTTTCGTTCTATGACATAAAAACGTCAGTAAATACCACACTGTGAATTCAAAATGTGTCTTGCAAAAGGTGGTTGTTGACAAGTTGCTAACTGAGACTACAGAAGGTCATTATGGTGGTGACGCTGAGTCATGTGATCGTAGTGTAGCCTAGTCAATAATCATGAAAATGGTGTTAATTTGTGAAGGTTTTCTTGCTCAACAAAATGTGCAACTATCAAAAATGTTATTATTTTCTGCAATAATCCAAAATCAGATGGAAAAATCCGATAGTCTTTTTGACGAGTAGGTGTAATTGTTGTGTAGCTAACTGAGCGAAATGACAAAGCTAACGTTAGTGTGCTACTAACAGAAGAGAAAAAAAGGTGATATGGAGTACGGTCCACATGTCTGACCTAAAACGTCATAAAAGCTGTTAAATAATAACTTTGTATCACATTTCACTAAAATAACAACAAACCTCAAATTATGAAATATTATGACATTTTATTAACATTTAACCCTTTGAAACTTTAGAGCAAATTGGCTTGATTTCTTGTAAAAACAAAGGAAGAGCAACGAAAGATGAAATGACTCCAAAAAATTAACAAGAAATTAGTAAAAGAGAAAATAAAAAAACAAGAAAATTAGCAAAAAATAGAGAAAGAATGTTAAAAACAAGCAAACAAGGAAACTACCTGGAAAGAGTGCTTAAAAATTCCAAAAATTCTGTAACACAATTTCAAAATGTGTATTATAAACATAGTTTTTTCCCTTACTTTTTTCTTTTTCTCTATTAAAAAATAAATAATTTTCTATATATTGCAATTTGCTGGGCATTTCCTACCAAGTTGCTCATTGCCTTTTTCCCATTTATATTAAAGAAATCGCACCAATTTGCTCGGGTTCAAAGGTTTGAATACTTGCAAAAGGCGTCTGAAAGCAGCACAAGAAAAAGGAGGTTGTTCCAGGTTTCAAAGGGTTAACACAACAAATAAGATCAGTAAGCTTAGCTTAATCAGAAATAACCCTCTTAATAAAAACTTTATGAAAAGTACTAACTCTAAAACACACACAGATTTCTCCACAAATAAAACTCATACCTACATTTACCAAAGATTTATCTTTGAGCCTTGAAAACCGTATGTTTGAAAGTTAAGCTAGATTGTGATGCTAAAGTGACGGTATTTACATAAGAAAATATTCTGCTTTTTGCCATTATTTCAAAAAAGACAATATTCCTGATAAACTGTTTAATAATTTACTCATTTTCCATAACCACTTATCCTTTTGGGGGTTGTGGGGGGGCTGGAGCCTATCCCAGCTGACACTGGGCGAGAGGTGGGGTTCACCCTGGACAGGTCACCAGACTATCACAGGGCTGATACATGGAGACATAGAGGTCACCAATTAACCTGCATGTGTTTGGACTGTGGGAGGAAGCTGGAGCACCTGGAGGAAACCCACGCTGACACAGGGAGAACATGCAAACTCCACACAGAAGGGCTCTTCCACCCTGGGTTTGAGCCAGAAACCCTCTTGCTGTGAGGTGACAATGCTAACCACTGCACCACCGTGCCGCTAATTCAGAATATCCTAATAGAATATGCTTTTTACGTGTCCAACAATCAGTTCCAGAATACTGTCATATCTAGTATAACAGTTGAATATTGGTGTGTATGTAAACATAGTTTACAGAGTTAATTGCTCCTGATTGGACGGTGTGACAGATGTTTCCTAGCAACAGATTTACACATTAAATTAAGTCTTCACTTGCTGATACATTTCTGACATTTTGATGGTAAATCACCAGGTTGAAACCAGTTCCTGAGAACTCACCCTCCACAGTGAGCTGACACTGGGTGTGGTCCTCTCCGTACTGGTTCCAGGCCTGGCAGCTGTATGTCCCATTGTCCTCAGGGAAAACCTCCTGGATCAGCAGAGTGCAACGGTTCTCCTCCCTGAGGAGGTGGAAGTCTTCAGACTCTGTCACCTCCTGCCCGTCATGGAGCCACACCACCTCTGGAGGGGGGTTACCTGAAGAGCACAACCACTTCATCAATAATCATCAATAATTGGACTAAACCATCATCCAGCAGCACTACCTGGCGGCCGCCGCAATACGTGTATAGACCCTTTTACTGTTAGTAAACAGTATGATGTTTTTTGGTGGGTGGGGCTTAGCTGGAGGCAAAACAATTCTCTACAGACATTAGCTAGCGCTAGCTAACAAGTTCTGCTGGTTTGTTTTAGACAATGGAGAAAGTGCAAAAGCGCACTCTGGGGCAAACTGGACTGTTCATAAATTCTGAGCACTGTATGAATGTACTGTTCAGTTATCCAGAGCGCTGCACTCTCAGAGCAGCAGAGCGCAGAGCGCAGTGAATGTGTGATTAACTTAACCATTGGTTAATTCATGTAGAAATATAACGCTCCTTTTCTTCCACCAACAGGGCTCTCATTTTAGTGTAGAGCGTCAGACTGAATTTACCAACGCACCATGTCAGGTCACTCACTCTCCGGGACCGCCAGTGTTACTTGAATAAGTAAACACTGACCAACGGGACCAGACTGGCCGACCCGTATGCTCTCACTCAGTGGATGGATGATGTCACAGGAAGCCAATCTTACAAAGGAGGACCACATTTGTTTGTTTTGCTATGGAAGCTAACGTTAGCTAATGTGCTAAAAAGTTAGCGTTCCAGAGAAATCCAATATTCCTCTTAATCCCTCCCCAGTTTCTGATGAGGTGGACATGATAACCCTTAATACAGTGAGCATTTTTGATGATGGCCTCCGTCCAGTCCTTTGGTCTTATCACATTTAACCATAGTTGTCTTTGTTTTTGTTGACGGGCAGTGGCGGCTGGTTTTGAGCCATGACTCCTTCTATTCTGGCTCCCAATAACACAACAAGACAAACACATTTTAAGACTCCTGTGTAGCCTACAGCCCTGTGGCGGAGAGGCAGCTGCACCTCCAGGTGATAACATGACGTCATTGTGATGTCAGCCCTAAAAAGGGTCTATGACAGAAACACAGCGTGTGTGGACTCTGTGGGCGCTGGCTGTTCGTTGACGTTAGCCGACTCCATATTTTAGCTAACGTTTGTTTGTTGGACACTGTTAGCGCAGAGCTGAGGAAAGGCAGGAAACTATGGACATTCATGAAGTCACATCTTTCAGCAAAAAAATTTGTCCCGAGTCCTTCACATAGAAATCAGTCCACAGGCTGTTGGAGACAACTGAGGCAGTCGGTTGCGTCTCAGTTTTTATGACACGTAACAACCTGTTCGGCCATCGACAACAAAAAAAACAATAAACACGTAAATAAGTTTGTTTTTGTAATAAATTTAAAATGAGAGGAAACAGTGTGATGACTGACAGCAGCTCTCAGGTAGCAGCAGACCTGATCCTCACACAGCTTATATGGAGAAAAGCCTCGGTGGAAAATCATTATGTAACACACACACACACACACACACACACACACACACACACACGGCTGAGTTCATA